AAGGTTATGAGAATGATCAGCATATTTTTCATGAATCTAAGACCATTAATTTACAATGCGACTGGAGGTATAGCTCATTGATTAGTGTATTGCAAAGGGATCCTCTTTGTAGCAGAAAATTCTATTTTTTGTAAAGGCATTATTAGACCCGGTTAATTTCTTACCCCTTGTTTAGATAGTCAATAATTTTTCTTTTCCTACAATGACTGCACTTATCGTCGTCATTGATGATTTTGTACGCACAGTGATACGAAGTAACACATGAATATCAACAGTTTTGTCTGTTAAAAGCATGAATTCTAATATTATATAGAAACCATCTTTTTCTCGACCATGGAGCCTCTACCAACTTAGACTTTTTGTTGAACAAATTAATTGAAATTTAATTAGTTGGAGTACTAATTTTATGGAACTAACAAAATAAAGAAATTGGACTTTGTCATTTTATTTTATATTTTTCAGTTAGATATTATAAATCCTAAATTGGAGCATAAATTGGTGTAATTTTAGGTTATTTTGGGTGCGCGGACCGTATAAAAAATTTGTTATAAAATTATAAGGAATAGTGTTAGATGGTATTATAGCGAACTTACGCAAATAATATACCATGTTAAGGTTGGATGAAAGTTTAGGTCCAATTAAGAATGAGATCCTAAATGACATTAACAACAATACAAAATTATTTGATTTGGAGATATTAAAAAAAAAAAAAAACAATTGAAGATGAAGCCATCCGAGCAGTGCGTCGAACGAGACTGCAGCTTTGCAGCGCCCAAAGCTGCTGCCCAGAATCGGCAGCTTCGTGGTGGTGCTGCCAGCATGCTTGGGTGGTATGGCAGCAGCCTGAGCGCTTCTGTCAGTTGGCAGTGGCTGCCTATGGTGGAAAAATGGTAGGTAGAAAATTCCAAAAATATTACAATCAAATCTCAGAAAACGGCATGGTAAAGACGATGAATTCCCATCTATAACAATAACTAGAAAATACACATGTACAGAGACAAATACAAAAATACA